TATGTATGTATTGCATCAACCTAGTACCCTCTCTGCCGGCGGTTGGACCTCATGGTCGGACATGGCTGACTTGGTCGCACAAAAGCGTGCGAAAAGCAGGAATGACTGGTTACAGGCAGGGATGGAGAGTCCATGCTTTTCATGACACGAAAAGCAAGGAGTTCATTCGGATTACGGATAATTGTAGCCAATCAAACTGATTTTGCAAAAGCATAAAAGGCCAAAAGCAGGAACAATTCGTTCGCAGACCAGGCTCTAATACTGTATAAGATCACGACTATATAATTATGTCTTGCACAGCCAATGTTTCAATTGCTCTGCACCCCATCGTTGGTGGTGCCCGCCATGATGAAGTCCACGACTCCAGACACGACAAACCAGGTCTTCCTCGTGTCAAGTGTCGTGGTCTTCACTGCGGCGGGTGTCGTGGTGATCTTCGCCGCATCATCCGCCGTGGCGGTCTCGCGTGTGGTGGTCTCGATCTTATATATGTAGGGTGTTCTATTCAGTCGTACACGCTCATAATTGTCAAGTGCTATTACAGTCATGTCGTTACGAGCTATTCGAACTACCATATCTACGAGTATGTGAACGAGTAATACTACTAGCCCTCGCAGGGCCAGCATCAGCTTGGACATGCAGCTTACTCTGCGATGGCCCGGGCCGTCGCTCGAGAGTATGCGCGGAGGGAGCACAGCGATTGGTTGATTTCTCGGCACTCTTGCTGCTCATCGCCCTTCTACTGGATGTCACTGTCCGTGACGCGGCCGGCGTGCTTGGACCCGGCCAAGTCGACAAACCCGACGGTAAGACGCGGTCGCTCACGTGCTCCATCTGGAGGAGGGCGTGCGACCGGCTGCTCGCACGGTGGACGTTCGAGTTGCCCGTCGCCCGACTCACTGTCAACGACTTCACAGTCAATCATGTTTAAAGAATCGACCCGTAGTATAATAACATTATACATTGCTTGTTATGAGGTACAACCGGTAGTACTCGGTACGAATATCGTACACTCGTAACAGTGTATGTAGAATTGTATAGAATCAATCATAACAAATACTATGGGTACTGCGTATTTCAGTGACCTGTCGAAAAAACTACAATTGATTTCATGCCCGATATGTTTCTAAGCTTGTTTTGACGCATAATATAATTACCTCCACAATACAAAAGAATGAACTTGAAGCGCTGAATATTATTTCGAATGATGAACCTGATTGGCAGGAATTTATTTCGTACTTCGAAGTTCGATAGCCAATCAAATGACCCTATACTAGATCCCACTCGAAGAAAAAGTAGGCCTTGCATTCTGAAGTTCCCTGTAGTAGGCAAGTGGTGAAATGAGGCCTGTTAGAATTGACCGAGTCCTGAATACCACATCACATGATCTTGATCTTGCTCTCAAATACAGCCTACAATTATCTCAAGGCTCCTTGCATCAACCGCCATCACAGGAATATATCACAACAGGGCGTGATGAATCTATGCAGCGATTTTCGTGATTTCACCGCATCTGATTGGACAAAATTGGACAATTTTGAATTCGCAAGGCCTGCCTTGCGAATTCCAAAAAGAGACAGACACATGAAAAATAAAAATCATCAATACAAACTTGAAGATATATTTAATTGAAACTATACAATTTCAGAATTATTTATGGAATTCGCAAGGTGGTTCACCTTGCGCTCCATACAAAATTGCCTATTTCACCTAGTTTTTCTGGTTAATGTCAGTTAAATTCCATAATTTTATCAGAAATATCGTGAAAACCACAAGAAATAAATTTCTACTCATGAGTAGAATATTTTGACGATATTGACAGTGCACGTTGAATTGACTGGGCATTTCGGAATGAGAAAGGCCATCGTGATTGCCTTCCTACGTCGATGGCTCATCCGCCGCCGCCTGGCCAACGAACTCTTCGCCAGACAAATGGAGTACCACTACCTCGCCTTCGTCCACAAGACACGAAAGAGGACGTCCATCCTCAGTGGTCCTCTCTGGGTGGACGAAGTCCTCTGCGGCTCTGAACTATCCTCTGATTGGCTGTTCATTTCCGAACTTTCTTTAATTCTATGGCATCCAGACACACACCACCCAAAATCATTATTGGATCTTGAAACCCAAGAATTTCCTGCAATGTCGAAAAATGTTTAATATTCCAATATCCCATAATATTGGTCATCCCAACAGGCCCTTACATATATAATTATTTATACATAATACTTCGAAGTACTACTACTGTACATGGACGAGGTTGGTTGAAAATTAGTGTGGTCCACACTAATTACGGTCAAAGGTCTAATTTCAGATTCAACGTTGAAATGGTCGAAGAGTGAATTTGATTGGTCATTTGATTCGTGTTCTGGGTTTTGATTGGTCGTATATCGATTGTCCACCCACTCCAATGTCGAATTGACTTGACAATAACGTCAATTATCATTGCAAGAAGACACGTGCGTATTTACAGGTGTATAGGAGCACACATTTGAAATGTCCTCCTTCCATGAACGTCCACACGAGTTTACAGCACACACGATGTCATTGGTACTTGAGGTTCCCATCGAGTTACACTAACTTAGTCCATCCATCCATCCATCGTCCTCTTGTTTCTTCATCCATGTGTTTCATAGCAGGGCAGCGACGGCGGCCAGCACGGCGTCGTCCGTCATGGCGGGTACGTCCAACGCCCGCAAGCGTTTCGTGATCGGTTGGTCGTCGGCGGTTTGATGCTGGGAGGACGATTTGAAGTCAAAATGTTCCAGTTCAGTCGCCTTTCGCTTGGCGACGGCCACGACCGAAGACGGGAACCCCGCCATCTCAGCCACGTGGATGCCAAAGCTCTCGAGGCAGGGGCCGGGGCGGACCTCGTACACCATCGCGATGTGGTTGTCGGCCGTGTGCGCGGTCAGGTGCTTATTGACGACCCCGTCTGAACCGCCGAGCGCCGTGAGCTCGTGAAAGTGCGTGGCGAATACACACCAGCACCGCCGCCGGACGAGGAAGTCGGAGATGGCCCACGCGAGCCCGAAGCCGTCGTACGTGGACGTGCCGCGGCCCAGCTCGTCGATGATCACGAGGCTCCGCGCGGTGGCCTTGCGGCAGATCACGGCGGCCTCCAGCATCTCGAGCATGAACGTCGACACCCCCCGCTGCTGCATGTCACCCGCTCCCACCCGCACGAGCAGCTTGTCCACGATCGGTAGCTACTCGAGAATAAGTCCACACACATGTATATAGAGTTGAGGACAAGTAGATGTTGAATAATATATATATTTATATATATATGCCTATATATATATATATAATGGACAAGAGCTGTACTATTAATAGTAGCCATCAAGGAAATTTTAAAATATATACCAATTATTATATCTATCAAGGAAATTATAAAATATATTTCTAGTATATATCGATTCAACAACACCGTTCAAGTCCACACATGTTGTCAGCCAAGTAGATGCTTAAATATATCGATACCTGAATATATATATATGACCAAAAACTGGAGGCATCAAGGAAAATATATAATATATACCAAGACATGGAATATTATTTCTATTCCAATGACAGCGATAATGTTACTAATACAATACAAAAACTACTCTAAGACAAAAATCATACTAGGCATCATCACATACCAATAATACATAGATAATACAGTATATATTTACAATAAGCAAGATAGGTACCAACAATGCATAGATTAGTAATACAGTATATATTTACAATAAGCAAGATAGGTACCAACAATGCATAGATAGATAATACAATGCATAGATATATAATACAGTATATATTTACAATAAGCAAGATAGGTACAATACATAGATATATAATACAGTATATATTTACAATAAGCAAGATAGGTACAATACAGAGATAGATAATACAGTATATATTGACAATAAGCAATATTGGTACCAATATTACATAGATAGATAATACAGTATATATTTACAATAAGCAAGATTGGTACTACTGTATATATAACCACATGATACCAAGCCATATATATATATATATATATATATATATATATTATACATACCATGGCCGAGGTGGCGGGGACGAACGACCCGATCTGCGCCATGACGGTAATGGCGCCGAGTGCGCGGATGTACGTGGACTTGCCGCCCATGTTGGGTCCAGTGACGAGTTGGAACCTGGACGTGTGGGCGTCCATGTCGACGTTGTTTGGGATGAACTGGACGCCGTCCTGGAGCTCCACACACGGATGTCTGGCGCCGTCGACGACAAATCCGGACGCCGACACAGCCGGACGGCAGTACCCGGCGTGAGCCGCGACGTGGGCGAACCCGAGCAGCACGTCCAGCGTACCGACGAAGGTCGCCGCCGACTCGATCACGGGGACGTACGTGGCGGCCACGTCGATCGCCGCCGTCAGAATGTGCATCTGTCGAGCTTCGTAGTCGGCCACATGCTGCAGATACGCTTTTCCGAGCTCTTTGAGCCGAGATGTGGTAAAGTACAGTCCGTTCACGAGCACTTGGCAGATGTGCACATGCTTCATCTTGGACAGGCGCTCCTCCTCTTTCTTGTTGATCAGGCGGAAGACGTACCCGCGGACCTTATCCTTTTCGCACTTGACGTCGCCACCAATGTCGTGCTTCACGCGGTCGTGCTCGTCGTCGATGTCGGCTTCCACCTGCTGCAGCGCGGCGCGGATGTCCCGCAGCGCCTCGTCATGCTTGGCGTTCACCGTCACGTATGGCCGCGCGCCAAAATCCACCAATTCGTCCACGAGCCCGATGAATCCTTGGAAATCGCGCTGGACTTTCTCTAATGGAACCTGGAATGACTCGCGGAGGACGTCCTGGCCGGCTAATGCGCGGACGATGCGCGGCAGGACGGAAGAGGCGGCGTCGTACACGGACACCAAATGATCCAGCTTGACTGATTTGAGCTTGCCCAACGTCGCCGCGAGTTTCTCCAGATCGGGCAGCGCCTTCATGCACTCGTCCAGCAGTTCCATGCGCAAAGTGGACTCGTGCACAAAGGTCGCGACGACTTCCTGGCGCTCGGCGATCAATGTCGCGTCCATGAGTGGCATGCGGATCCAGCGCTCCAACATGCGTCGCCCCATCGCCGTCTTGCCGCGGTTGAGAAGGTCCAACACGCTCGCGTTCTGTGTCTGATGGGTACCCGTGAGCATCGGGTCCGGCAGGAGGTTTAACGCGGTCAGCGCCGCGCGATCCAACTGCATGACGGAGTCCACATCGCCCACGGACAACGAGTACGTGCCGAATCCGTCTGTGTCGACGAGAAGGGAGTGCGTGTCGACGATCGCTGCGAGTGCCCCCAGCGCCAACTCCATCTCCATCTCCACGCGATGGGTCGCTTGGATGCCAGACGCACCTAACAACCGACACAAGGTCGGCTCCATTGCCGAAGCGGTCGTCTTGAACCGTTTGGACGGCACTGAGGTGCGTTCGACGCCGTGCGATTGCAACAACAATCGGAAGACTTTATTGTCGGCGTCACTGTCCATCGCAAGACATTCCGATGGAGCGACTTGCACAAGCAAGTTGTCCAACGTCGACAGCTGATTGCAGTCTATGAACGAGAACAGGATCAACTCCCACTGGTTCTTGTCCTCCCCTGGAGCGTTGCGGACACATGACTTGCGCGGCCGGGGGCGGCGCACAGCCACGCCGACCTCATTCTGCTGTTTCTTGGACCGAATTTGCACTGCCATCGTCACGTAGCCAGGTGTCACGTCTTGTGACGCTTCATTGTCGTCCATGGCGGCTTGGCGGCAACGCTTCGATCTATCAATGCGCTCGGAAAGGCATTGTGCCGCCAAATCCGTTTATGTACGATGCGTACTTAACATGTCTATTCAAAAAGCAAGTTCATCGAGTGGAATCGCACCTAATTGGGTTTCTATTGGCGCCAAAATTATTTAAAAATGATTCGTTCGATCTGTAGTAGACTATTGTATGCCTCGAAAATAATATTTTCCAGACCATACAGTGTGATTACGGTGAACATGCCGCCGCTGCCATCATCGATCGCGGACGCGTACAGCGCAGGAATCGCGTCGGATGCAGGTGTTGCTACCTTCGCCGATCTATGTGCGAAGAAGGTGCCATCCCGTGGGAAGGAATCGCATCTCACTCACATGGCTGCGTTGATTGTGCCCGAAGCAGAGCTCAAACGCATGCAAGGCGACCCGCACGAGAAAGTACGACGCCTCAAGCTTCAAGTGCTATGTCGCCTGGGTCAAGCCGCCATCCGCAAGACAGACCCCGTGGACAAATCGGCAAAGAAGACGTTGTACTCGATCTTGTCGTCCATGGCGATGAAAATGGACTCGATGGCGATGAGCCTTCCCGAGCACGACGACGCAGACGGCAAGTCGGCGTTCACGACGTTCGTTCTCGACACACTGTCCAGTCGGTTCCAGTCGCTGCTACCCAAGACATTCAAATGGTTGCTCAAGACATTAGAAATCTCACCACCGAACGACCATGAGGCCAAGAAGAGTGCCCCATCGTTGGTACGACATTCCATGTCGTCGAGTGCATCTATCGTGACGAGCAGTGTGGCGACATCTGTAGTTGTTGGTGCGAAGTCAGTCGACCGAGCCACCGACGCTGAAACCCGATTGTTCCATCGCTCAAGTGCTGCAGGGTCGGTCGTCGTCGGCCAAGGATCCTTCGGTACGTTCTCCTCCACTTGATCATGTATGTACAGTCTGTTGCATCCACTTGAACGCGTCTTACCCCAGGCAAGTCGAAGTCTGCTGTTCCAAGAAATTGTACTCACGTCCAGTCAACCCAAGACTCGTCTTCCTGCAATGATCACCCCCACTATCCACAAAGTTGTGCCACCTTCCACCGACGAACCCGCTCCGTGTGCCGTCAATGCGGACGTCCCGATCGTGAACGCACGACACACGATGGTCCTCAAGACCCCCGAACGACCGAAGCGGCCGCCCATGAAGAAGCGCTTGGTGTGCGTGGCGTCGTCTCCTCCGCTGCGGAAACCCACCAAGAAGCGCCTCGGGACGTTGATGTCGAATTTCAAATAAACATGTTTCATGCACTGTCGTCGTCGCTGTAGGCCGCCACGAGACTCGCCACGGGCGCCGTCTTTTGCTTCTTGCGGGTGTTCCCATGATCATTCCCTGCATGCGTTGACGTTTTGGCTTTCACTTTTGCAGCCACCTTGGCGCCTTGCTTCTCCAAGGGCAGAGAAGATCTGTCCCGCGACGACAATGTCGTTGCGACTGCTGGGGGGGGTTTCTTGGCTTGAATCTCGCGCTTCAGCAACGCTACCAACGTCCCTTAACTTGTGGACACGAGGGGAAATACGTACCGAAATGCGCTAACTCTTCGTCGTGGTGACGGGTGATGTCGTCCTGAAGCTTCTTTTGATCCGACTCCAACGTGTGCAGGAAATCAATCTCTTCGTCGTCGAGTCCCTTTGGCGGTGCTACAGCATGGAACCATTCATGTCAAGCAAGGATGACATTCATCGGACGTACCAAATGGGTTGTTCTTGTCCTTCCAGTCGGCATCCCGCGCGTCCTTCTGTTCCTTTAAGCGTTCGTACAACGGTCGAAAGTCCACTTTCTCCTCGGAACTTTCAGGGCGATCGGTGATGCGAACTTCCTCCACGTTGTCGCCAAACAACTACATGCACCACAGGAATCATGGGCACGCACATCATATGCCTACGCACCCCATCGGACGACGACAAGACTGACGTCGACACAAAGCCCGCAATCGGCTTGCTTTTGGGTTTGGACACTTCAAGTGTGTCTCCCGTCGCGAGATCCTTCGCTTCGGTCGGGAACTTGCTCGCGACGCTGCTTCCTGGTGTTGTCATGGTCGCGGCAATTGAAACCCGTTCGTTCATGTATGATAATAAAACCATGTGGCGTTAAAGATAAAACGCTGGTTGTAGTCGTTGTATCCGGATGCTTTTTTGTAAAAAACGTACGTTCAATGATTAAACGCAATAAAAAGGATGTCCGCTGTGGGATTTGAACCCACGCGTACGAATACATCACGACCTGAACGTGACCCCTTAGACCACTCGGGCAAACGGACGTTATATTTAATGAAGAAATTATAATATTTATAATACAATAAATATTTGGTTCAAGCCTCGAGAGCCAATCCATTTCCAGCATTTTGTCCATTTATCGGCAGCGATGGTGAAAAAGCGCGGGGTCGTCACTGCGCAGGTGCCGTCGGAAGCTTCCTCCTCCAAGAAGCACCGTGGAGACGACGGGACTTCATCGGGTCCATCAGTGTCACCGGCGAAGAAGAAGGATGCTGTGCATGCACATCCAATAGCTGCAGCACCGGTCGCAGCACTCGTACCACCTTCGACGTCCGTGCTGCGTGACTTGATCTTGAATGTCCAACGCGGGCAACTGGATGCTGTGGTGAAGACGCTCAACGAGTTCCGTACAGGTGTGCTGGTAGACGAAACCACAGGCGAAGTATCGTCGACGTGTCCGTTGCTGCAAGCGTACTTGCAGATCTCGCCGCAGTCGGAACCGCTTGTGGACTTGTGGGGCAGCGCACTGTGGTTGGAAGACAAGTCGCGTCAGATCATTCCTGTCGTGATAGAGCTGCTAACGTTTGTGTTCCAGTACCTCCGAGTCCAGTCTCCCGCGGTCGCGGAAGCGGTCGCGCTCCACGTGCTCAAGACCAAGATGGAGTTGATCTCCAAGCAACTGAGTTGGTCAGATAAGCCCCATGTGGAACACGCGACCCTTGCCTTGTGCACGTCCATGGTGACCCTCCACCCGCGTATCGCGCGCGAGTTCGTCCGGCTCTTCGACTTCACCGCGAAAGCCTTCGACAAACTATGCGTCCGCCGGTCCAAGCCCTTTGACGTCGTCGTCCTTTCCCGTCCTCCCCGCCAGATCAACGTCCGACATGCGTTCGTCCAGTTGATTCTCGCACTGGTCACGACGGACGACCAACATATCCGTCGCTTTGCCCTCAAAGGCGACGGCATCGCCCACGCGCTCTTCAAGAGCATCGACGACGACACGTACGAGGACGTGACGTTGATCCTGTCGACGCTGGCGGCCGCCGTGCTTGCGTCCACGGACGTCCGCGGCAAGCGCGCCGTCTACTCGTCCTTTGCCATCTCGCAACTGGTCAAGCTCATCGATTCGTCGGATGCGCGCATCGTGGCGCTGGGGACACAGACGCTGGACGCGCTCTTTTTCCACGACAAGGCGCTGTACCGCGTATCCCAAGCGGCGACGCTCGCGCACCTCGAGCCCGTCACGTCCCCGGACGACACGTCATCATCTTCCGAGACTGGCGCCATGAAGGTCCTGCTCAAGCTGCTCGCGTCGTTCGACTTGACGGCGACGATGGCGCACCCGACCCGCGAAGCGCTGCTGTTCCGGTTCGTGTCGACGTATCCGGCGCTGATTGTAGTCGTGTTCCAGTCGTTCCATGCCGTGATGGAACCGCGGCCGTCGTACAAGTGGTTTGCCGCGGCGTCGTTCGTGCTCAAAGCGCTGCGCCTCCCGCTCACGGCGCTATCTGAGACTTCATCCAATGATGGCCAATACCTCATGGAAGCGCCGCTCGTCAAGCTGGTGTGGCCTCTGGGCATGCAAAAGAAGGATCTGTCCAAGGCGGTGCAGCACACGGACCTATTGGTTGTGCACACGGCGCTCAATTTGCTTCTCGTCGTGCTCATGCGCGCCGCGGCCTTGATGAGCCAAGGGCGGGGGAATGGCGGCGGCGATCTGTCGTTGCAGCATGCGGTGCGCAGTCTCGTGCCGCCGCCCGAGCTCATCGTGGCGCTGTGCACCAAGTACCGCACGTCCACGACGGACCCCGTCATTGCCGACAAGAAGCGCGCGACGATCTACGGCAAGACGCTGTCCGTGCTGCAGCTGTACTTTACCCACCTTCCGCAACTCATGACCGAGACCAAGTTCGACTTGTCGAAACTCGTCGCGCCAAACCAACCGCTGCCGCTTCGAGGCGCGGTGCTGGGGCTGCTGGACGTCGCCGAGCCGTCCCGGTTGGCGTGGATTGTGCTGGGCGACACATCCAAGCTCAAGATATTGCTCCAGTACGCCACGGCACCCGCGTCCGCCGTGACGCCGCTGGCAGTCCGCGTCGTCCGGCGGGTCCTGGCGTCTCTGCACACGTTTGGCGTCGCGGAGCCGCAGCCGGACGTGCCCCACGAGATCGACCTGTGGCTGCGGCCGCTGGTGACTTCGCCTTCCGAAGCGGCGACGGCGTTCTTGGACGTGTTGGTGCGCGGAGTCGCGGCTCATCCGTTTCACTTTGTGAACGACCGCACGAGCCCCATGACTCAAGCGCTGGTCGCGTACTTCCAACGCGACACGTTTCCATTTCAGATCAAACACGTCGACGAGCCATACGCGGTGAGTGCGTACGGCGTGCAAGTGCTGGCCAAGCTCGCGGCGTTGTATCCTCCCACGTGGTCGCTCCCGCAGCAATGGACGGACGACGACAGTGGCGGCGGCACCAACGACCGCGATCCACTGCGGTTGGTGGCGACTCTAGCTACCGCCACTACCAACCACCACCAATCGACAACCCATCACAAGCCGGCTTTGCCGTCGACCAAGGACACGATCGCCCACCTCACAAGTCCCAACCAACCAGACAACAACAAGGGAGTGGTGGTGGTGCTCACTGAAGAAGTGTTGACTGGAGTATGGGCTGCGACTGGGTCGTTTGCAGTCATATGGGACTACTTTCGAGCCCATCCGACCGAATCTCTCTTCTTTTTCCAAGCCAATCAGACGAGTCCGTGCCTCGACGCCGTGGTGCGCCCCGCCGCCAGTGTAAGTCCGCTGGTACGTCAGTTCGTCGACAGCTCCCCCGTGGACCTGGTGCTATCGTCGCTGTTTTCTCCGCTTGTGCTGCTATCTCCATCTCGAACGTCCCCAGTCGACGCCAAACACATTGTCTCGTACTTGGAACGCAAAGCTTGTACCATCTTGGACATCGTCGACGTTCAAGTGGCCATATTGGACCTCGTGCACGGCTTGAACGTGTACCGCCAACGCCGATTGAACCTGGTAACGTCATAGTAACCTCCTCCATCTATCTATCTAGCTAAGGGATTGACCATGTTGTTCATCTAGGAAGCCATCACTGCAGAGTACACGGCCGCCGTGGCCGTATCCATCACGGCGCTGCATTTTTTGCTGCTCTGGGGCGCCCACCACGGACGCTATCCCGCCGCGTTCTATCAGGTCGTATGGCGGTCTACTGAGTTTGGCGACGAGGATAGCGACGAGGTGCTGCTGCGGTGGAGTGTGCTGCCTTACTTGCTGAGCTCGTTCGTGCCGGACGCGACCACGTCGGCCTTCTTGACGGACCATCCGGTGGACCAAGCGTCGCCGCTCAGTGCGGTGCTGCTCCCACGGCGCCATCTGTCGTCCGCGCATCTCCTCGACGCCCTCGCCGCCGTCCTCAACTGTCCGCGGGTCAACGCCCCGCTCGTGCGCCACTTGATTCGGCTTACAAGCACCCAGACCCTGCCCCGCCCGCACTTGCTGCAGAAAGTGTTTGCGTTCTGGCAAGCTCACGACGACGACGACGAGGCGGCGGCGGCTCCGTCAGTCGTGAAAAGCTGGATGCTCCACTACGTCCTCCATCACCCACTCAACGAGTGCGCGGTGGCCGTCCCGCTGTTCGACGCGTGCTGGACTCGTCTCCAGACCTGCCATCATTCCCAGCTCAACCTCCGCATCCTCGAAGCGCTGATCCAACGCTCCCCCGCCTGCCGCGCCGAGTTTACCCGCGTGCCCGACACCCCTTCCCGCCGCGTCTCGACGTCGGTGGCCGGCCTCACGAGGCTCTGCGCGGCGTACCTGTCGTCGCTGCCTCTAGTTCCGTCGTGCGTGTCGTGGATCGAAGCCGTGGTGCTGCCTGCGTTCGTGGACCAAGTGCTGGACGCCCCCGACACTCTACACACATGTTCCATCTCCGCATTGGCGGACGCGTACGCGACGCTGTACTCGTCGTCCGATGATGCAAAGGAGTTGGCGCACTTGGAGTGGCTGTCGGACGTATTGGCCACCAAGAAGCACGCCGTGCCCAAGTCGACGTTGCAACTGCTGCTCTTGACGGCCCAGTACAGTGATCTGTCCAAGCAAGCGTCCAAGTGCGTGAGCTTTGGGTTGGCCCAACTCACCCTCCATGCCATACATCACGAGGATGCAACAGTCGTGGATGATGCCATCGCGACCTTTACGCGGCATGTACTGACCAGGTATGGCCTGCCCAAGCGCGTGCCCGAATCTGCGATACAGTCGTTCGTGACCCACTTGCCACCCAATTGGGTCGCTTGTGAGCCGTTGCTGGAGCTAGTGGCGACTCTCGTTCCCTTGTATCCGTCGCTGATGGACATGTCCTCGCTGCTGGAGCAACTCGTGGACGCGTTCGACGCTTCGTTTGCCAGCAACGCGGCGGAAATGTTCGTCAAGACCCTCGGCGTTGTGATATTGGCTTGCAATCACCCTCCTATTCCGTCGAGTGTCGTGTCGGAAGCGTTCCTGCGACATGTGCTGGCGGCGTACGGCGCCACGCTCTCCCCCCTGGACCTCTTACTCAAAGCCGTCGTCGACGCAATAGTCGTCGTCGCCGGGGAGGATCATGTGACGCTCGAACGCGTCGGGTACTGCTTTGGAAGCAAGGCCAACCACGTCGCGACTGCCGATTTGGACCAGCACTGGCTGCTTGACGAGATCGACGCCGACATGATGAACACGTCCATCGCGCACTTCCCCATCGACCGGCCGTTCCATGGATCAGCGTACGCATCGTCTTCTCGTGATATGTACGATCCGGCGTACATGCTGCCGCTCATCGCGCACACGATCTCGTCCAGCGCCATCCCCGACCGCCACCTCCTTTCATCTGGCATCTTGGGGTACGTTTCACCTCTATCTCTTGATATTGTGTGTTGAAGGATTCGGTGTCTAGATATGCCATTTGCGGCCTCTCTGCCCACGACGCGACCCTCCGAGCTCATGCGTACGGCATCGTCGCGACCGCCCACGAATCCATGAGTGCCACCGCCCGCACCTTTGACTTTAGCGAGCGCCGCCAAGTCTTTTTGCTGCTCGAGACCCTCAAAAACGGCATCGCAGAGCCCCACGCCCGCCTCCCGTGCCTCCTCTCGGTGTTCGTCAATGACGCCATCGCGGCGCTGCTCAAGCCTGGACACTTTATGTTTCCCCTCGTCAACGCCTTCCTCCTCTCCCGGTCCGCCCTCGACGTGAACGACGTCCCCATGTTCTACGCGCTCTTTAACAGCAGCTCCACCATGTTTCGCGCTGAACGAAGCTGGCTGTTGCACTTGGTACGTACAGATATATATATATATATATATATATATATATATATATATATAAATTTGTAGGCTATCGATATGAGGTATGGTATTTGTTAGGAGGAAGTCTAATAGTATATGTATTTTGATATTCATTGCCTCCATAAACGTTAACATTGTCTCGAGAGTAGATGCATCGATTGGGACTGTATATATATTATAGATACATATATATATATATATATATATTGCATCAATAGTATCCGATGGTTTTATGTTTTGCAACAAGCTTCCAGATTTGGCCATCTACTAATTTATCTTCATATTACAGATTGCATCGATGGCACATACATCATATCAATGATTTAGTGGCTATCGTCACAACTATATATATATATATTCACTCTACTCATCATATCGAAATATATATATATATACACTCTATCGAACTCGAATAGGTGACTTGAGTTGATTGGTTTCTAGGTGAAACGAGGCGTCAAGCTTGACGTGGACGTGGAGCTGCTCCAGCGCCGCCACGTGTTCTCCATCCTCCTCGGCTTCTTCGACTCGCCCCTCGCCGACGCCCACACCCAGGGGCTGGTGCTGGAAATCCTGGCCACCGCCGTCGCCACCGCCGCGGGAAACGTCATACTCGTGCACAAGATGGGACTCCTGGCATGGCTCCAAGCTGTGGCTATCAAGCACGAGGGCAAGTTCACAGCGCTGCTTCTGTCGTTGGTTCATACCTCCATCCAGGTACATATATATATTATATATGCGTCCTCCGTCGATATATATATATATATATATATATATATATATATATATATGATGGTGGATAGAGCTATTACTTGTCGGAGAAACCTACCGACCGATATGCCGCCAATACCATGAGCCAACTGCACCAACTCTGTCGCACATTAGTCGTCCAACATCAGCAGTGTTTGAAACCCACCGACGTCCGAGATGTCGACTTTGCTTTGCTCCCGGCCGTGCTCACGCAGGTACATAATTCTTGATTGCGTCTCTATATTTAGCACTTTTTTCACTTTTTTTTGCTAGTTTTTTACGTTTTGCACGCTGGCCAAAGCCCCGCCGTCGACGTCCGTGTGGTTCTCCCTCGACTTGCTCGACTCAACCACGGCGTTGCTGCCTCGAGATTCCCCGTTTGCCCTCGCGTTGCTCCCACATGTGGTGTGGTATTTGCAGCGAATTCCAGCCGCCCCCCGCGACTTCCAATTCGGTCGGCAGACTTTTGAGCGGTGGGCCGGCGTCGTGTCGTGGGCCGTGGCCCAAGCCGCCACCTCCCGGAACCTTCCCCTCCAACTGGCCCTGCCGGACGCCGTGCTCGCATTAACCCAAGCGGTACGCCCCGACCTCCACCTATATATCGTTCGTTGCTGACACATTTGCTTAGGTTCGTGGCTTTCACGTCGACGTTGTCTAGCTGTACTTTTTAACTACTATTAATAGTATATCATGGACTACTAACTACTACTAGTGGTTTGCACATACACTCTCTCGTTTATACACTATTTTAGTCCATAGTACGCTATTATCCAAAGTTGTCGGCGTCGTCGTCGTCGTCGTTGGGGGCTTGCATAGGCTGCACAAAGCTGGGAAAGGTCCGGCGGCGGATCTTATCTAGCTCCTGACGCATAAACTCGATCTCTTCGCTCTGGGCTTTGGCTAAGTCGACCAACTTGCGGCGTACCGTGATGGCCTTGAGCTTGTTGTCCTTGATGGGCTGCTTCTTCCCTTTGCCAGTTGTTGCCGCCACGGACGACGCCCGTCGGCTCGCGACGATGTCTTCGCGGATATGAATGTGTGTCTGGAGGTCCTGCAGCTGCCGTTTGAACTGGTCGTTCTCCTTGAGTCGGTCTCCAAGCTGGCTTCTTAGCGCTTGCGTCGTCTTGGCTTGCTTGAGCTGGTGCACGTGGTGGTTCTTGCCCATGTACGCGAGCTTGGCTTCGAGCAATCCCTGCTCCACCTTTTGCTTTTCGCTGGCGTCGCCGGTCGTAATAAGTTCTTGGAGGTTCTTGGTCACGCGAAGCAGTTGCAGGTCCGTGTAGTGGTCCTCCATGTTGCGCTTCTGCATGTCCAGATACGCGTGCTCCCATTCCATCAAGTTGATGTTCTTGCGGAAGTTTTGGATCTTGCTCAGGATAGACACTTGGTCCGTGCCGTGCACCATAATAGTCGCGTTGAGCGCTTCGACGCTACGCCGCGAGATGAGCAGCGCGCTCTCTGTCTCTTCGAACAGTGTCACAAGGTCATCGCCGCCGCTCGCTTCGTCCTGACCCTGTTTGATCTGCACGAGCACGGGATGGTTTTCGCTGTTCAGGTCCATCGTGTCCACTAACTCGTGCAGGGCACGGGCGTACCGGTCGGCTTTGTCCTCGAGGGCCGCCACCTTGGCATGCGTCGCGTCCGCCACACCTTTGGCCTCGACGTACAAGTCGTTCTTGAGCTTAACCACATGCTCTAACGTCATCTTCTTGACGCGGCACTCGTTGAGGACGCTCCACACAGCCGAGTCGGTCGCGATCGATTCCGGACGGTCCACGTCCGGATCTAGTGGCAGTAGCCGCTTCACTTCGAACCCGCCCTTGGTCGAAGGCGCTTTGCGGCGGTCCGCGTGCCCAAACGGGTCCAGATTACCTCCATCCCCCACGTTGCTTGAAATGCTCAGTGCGCGCATGGACCCCCCCCCTTCCTTCCGCCCGCCCCCCTTCCCCGGCCTGGACGAGTCGTCCTCGTCGCCCTGGGGGCGCCGCTTCCGGTACAGCTCCACGAGGGCCTTCATCACGTCGTGCTCGAGGGGGGTTCCCCCTGCGGCGTCTTCGATTTCTTTGGGGAACGCCTTCTCGCACGCTTTGTCCTCGTCCACAGCATGCTGCCACGCGTCTCGACAGGCTTCCATTTGGGCCGTAAACTGAGCAGCATCAGCTTGCAAGCTGTGAATGTCGGCCGTGATGTGGTCAATTTCTCGCTGCAGCAACTCCTTTTCGTGGCAGCAATGTTCGTGGTCCATGAGCACTTCGCCCAGTCGGAGGACATACATTTGCTGCGTGAGGACACTCATTCGCGTCGCCAGGTACAAATCATGCAACCCCTTGAGCTTGTCGTCAAACGCCTTGCAAATGTCGCCCACATCCACCTTGAGCTTCTTCAGCTCCAAGTCGAGAGCCTTGCGCGCCTTCTCCTTGTCGTCCACCAGCTTGACCGCATCGGCTTCGAACGCCGCCACCTTCTGCTTCTGCTCGGCGGTCATGTCCTCCGCCGCGATCTCGTCCATCCACGCCTCCCGCGCCACCGTCTGCGCCGCGATCGCCTCCTTCTTTGTCTCGAGCGTCCCGTTCATCATGTCGTTCAGTGCTCGGCCAGCCACGTCGTCCTTCTTGTTCTTTTCCTCCTGGAGCCTCGCGGCATCCTCCGCCGCCTCGCGCACCTTGCGCCGCTCGTCCGTCTCGTACGGCACCTTGGTCGCTTCCCCGGGCAGCAGCCGCATCATCGAGTCGGCCACCTCGTCCGGGTGCCACCGATACACGACGGTCACGGCGGCGGCATCGACCCCCAACTCGGCGCAGATCTCGCGCATCCGTCCGTACTTGCCCTCGATCTCGTCGATTTTGGCTTCCTTGAGCTTGACCAACGCGTCGAACTCGCCATTGTACGCCGTCACCAAGTGCCGTTCGTACGCTTGCAAGAGGTGGATTTGCGTGCGCTGCTGTTTGCGGGTCCGGATCATCGCTGGGTGGTAGATCAAGTCGACGAGGCGGGGTGACGCCGACGTCGTCTGGCCGTCGTCCGCCGATGCGCCAGCGGACTCTTTGGAGGACGCAGGAGTTGTAGTCTTGGCTCCTGCCCCCGCGGCACCTCCCTTCTCCGCCCCCCCACCAGCCGCGCCTCCCCCCGAGTCTCCACCCAGTTTCTTGAGCGACGGATGCAACAAGCCAGCGTTCACCATCCACGTGATGTTGGGGGGGATGATCTCCCCGTGGTGGTACATGCACGACTTGCGGCGATGCAGCGAGTACTGCTTGGTTCCCGTGGGCTCCGCGACCGCCGAGTGGAACTCGATCTCACGCAGCCGCAGGATCATCTCGAAGCGGCGGACGTCAGCCTTGCTCAACTTGCGCATGGGCAGGTTCACTACATGCAACGACGAGTTCAGCCCGTGCAGCTGGACGCCGTGCACGTCGCCCGAGTCCCAGAACTCGACGCGCATCCGGTCGCGGACGATGTTGAGCTCGGCGATTTGGCGGCTGATGTTGCGCCGGACCTCCTTGGCGCGGGTGTCGCTCTGCGCGAGCACGTCCGCCTCCTGCCTCTCGTTGACGACAAACTCGTGCCGGTCTAGCGCCTCGGCCTCAGGCAGCTCGGCGTTGTGCTGCAGCATGGTCTTGAGCTTGAGTTGGATCTCCGCCAGAGGGCCACGGATCGTGTCTTTAACCGCCTCGAATTTGGCCCGGACGAGCGCCGCCTGCTCCTCTGCGTACGTGTCCAAGAAGGGCTTGGGGTCTTCGGTCAGCACGAGGAGCGGCTGCTTCTTGTCCGCCGCCGTCCCCCGCGGTTGCTTGTCTTTGCCCACGACCGCCGCATACAGCGGACTCGCGCCCTCTGCGACGCTCTTGACCAGCACCAACGACACGACGTCCGTCACATGCACGTCGAGGCAGAACACCGCGCCGTCCGTTCCCGTCGAGTACACGTACAGCGCGTCGTCGCACATGGCAAACACAAGGGCCGTGACCGCACCGGCATGCACCACCAGACTCTTCTGCTTGCGGACGTCGATCTCGACATCTTTGAGGAACACGGCGCTGGACGACCGCTTGGTCTGGACCAGCCAGATGGTCACCACGCCATCCGCGCCGCCCGTGGCCACAATTTCGTGGCCTTCCTTGGACGACAGGATGCTCCGCGCCACGGCCGTGATGGGCTTGGCGTGGGCGAGGGGGACGAGGGTCTTGAGCTCACGGTCTTTGGGGGCCCCCGGGGCGTCGTATACTTTGACCAGGTGCAGCCCCTTATCCCCGCGGTTGAAGTACGCAAGCAGCTTTCCTGGTGTGAGCAGGAACGCGCCGCCGTGACACTCGAGGGGGAGGTGCGGCGACGCCCCCAGCGGCGCCACCGGCAGCTCCGTCGCCATGCGGTCGTCCAGGTTGTTGGGGACGAGGACGTACCCGATGCCGGACCCGTCCCCCGAAGCAGCCGCCGTCGTTGTCACGACAAAGTAGGTGGATTCGAGACTCGATGTGGGTACCCACTTGACCAGCTGGGGCGGACTCGAGGTGTGGACAAACGCGAGGACGCGGAACTGCTTGTCCGGCTCCAAGGACACGACAAACACCGCCGACGCCACGGACGACGCGGCGAGGACGAGCGGCAGCGACGGATGCAGTTCCAAGAGGTCGATGGGGGCTTCCGCGGAGAAGAGCCGGACCGTGTGCAGGGGCGACAGATCCACCGTGGACGACGGCGACGGGGTGGCGGATTTGCTCAAGCCGACGATGCGAAGTCGCCCGACGGCATCGCCAACTAGCACGATCGGGTCCAAGTACCGCGCGGCGAGGCTCACAATCGGCACACGTCCTCCCCCCACGGACGTGACGCCGGCAGACGACCCGTCCGTCCCACTGCGTGGGAACGGACTCGACGCGAATATGGAGGATGCTCCAGACGTCGCCGACGGGTCAAAGAGGTCGGCGAGGTCCACAGCGGCCACCCCGCGACACCCCACGACAGTCCACACATGCAGCAAGCCGGATGTCCCCCCAGAGACGAGGGCGGCGTCGTTGGTGGTGCCGCCTGCCGGAAGAAGCGTCGTCACGGCCACGATGGCGCCAGTGTGGCTGATGCCAAGGGAGGTGGCGGGTATCGTCGACTGCTGCTGCTTTTCCGGACCGTTGGCGGCCGTCCCGTCGTCGTCGAACGAGTCCACGTACGCCTTGAGCTCAAACTGACCTCCGTGCGCGGTACCCGCGACCAGCACGACGCACGCGGGGGACAACGCCAAGGTCGTGATCGGGTGCGGTAACGTGGTGGTCTGAAGCACGAGCGAGAGGTCGTCGGACGCGAGCCACCGGATCGTGCCGTCGGAGAAGCCCACGACGAGGCTCTCGCTTGTGAGCACCAATGCTGTGGCAGCCACAGGCGAACTAGACAGCGGCAGCACGCGGGACACGACCGCGCCCGTCGTCGAGTCCATCGTGACGAGCTCACTGCGTTGGTTGACGAGGTAGACGTGCCCTGGAGTTTTCGACCAGCAATGGCCCACATACCGACAACAGGTCGAATCGTCGGCAGTACCGGCAACGTCCGGCTTGAACAGATCCGAAGACGAAGGCGTGGGCGGCAGTGCGCGGCCGGATGAACTCGTCCCTAGCTGCGGGGTCTCCGGGGCAGACGACGACAACATGGGATCCGTCGTCGTCCCATCCACGCGGCTAAAGCAGCTGCGGCCGTGGACGCCGTGGCAAACGCGCCAAAATGTGACACCGCCGTCGGTGGAAGCTGTGACAAAGCATTGGGCGTCCAGTGGATTGAACGACGCGAATGCGACGCGCGTCGGCAAATCGACATCGCAGCCGTCGATGAAGTCGAACTTGTCGACGTCCCACACACGCAGCTACCACAGACAACGCAAGACGGCATAAGACAATGCATGCCATGACACGAGTGGTACCTCGTTGGTGGTGGGGGTGGTTCCCACAGACAAGAGGCGGGACCCACACCGGGAAAACTTGACCAAGTAGTGTTCAAAGACTAGACTTGTACCGAGCTTGAGCTTTCCGCGCAGTTTCTACGGCGCGGTTGATAAGACGACCAAAACGGATAATCAGGTGGCAGCGGTACCTTTTCAGGAACCGAGTAGATAGAGACTTCGGCGTGCTCTTCGCATGCCGCGAGCGCAAGGTGCGACGCTCGTGTGTTCGCGTCGAAAGCTGTGATGCGAGTAGGTTTGGACCGCGTGAGAAAGTGCTGGGAGTTGCTGACAATGGACGAGAACTTGAGGAGGTTCCCACACTTGGAGAGCGTCGTGTGCTCGTCAGTGAGGATGATCGTTCCTCCGTCGTACGCGAACGCATGCTTGGGTACTGCGTCCACCATCGGCGCCGCCATCTCGTCGAATTTTCGTGTTATCGGATCGCGACTGTTCGGCGTATGGCGCCGTTTCATTGGTCATGGAATTGACCAATCGCCGCCCGCGTGGACGACTGGACCCGGTTTATCCGGATACGGATACACACCAACCAGAAACGAGCACCATTGTACTTTACGAAAAACGTAAAGCACATCCATGGCAACCGTCGAAGCGACAAGCACCAACCCTGTGGCAATGGCAGTAGCGACGATGTCGGACCCGCGGTACCGCCATTTTGTCGGCGGCGCCATCGGAGGCATGACAGCGGCAATCATCACGTCGCCTCTCGAAGTCGTGAAGACGCGACTGCAGACCAAAGCAAGCCGGTATAACAGTTCCTGTCACCGCGTCGTTCCCTCGTTTTAACATGGTGTGGCTGTAGTGACAGCATGGCGCGGACAGTCGAGCACCATCGCCTCACGACGTCCAACGTGCTCCGATCCATCCTCCAACACGGTATGCATGCATTCTCGTTTCGATGTTAACGTCACTGTCGACAACATCATCACCATATCGTACTCTGCAGAAAGTATATTTGGCCTGTGGCGTGGCATCTTGCCCAACCTGCTGGGGGTCGTCCCCGCCCGCGCCGCGTACTTTGGCTGCTACGCCAAGCTCAAGTCGACGCTGGGAGACCACGGCTACGCTGGGACGACGGCCAACTTTACGTCCGCAGCCGCCGCCGGTTGCCTCACGGCGTCGTTCCTAAGTCCTATCTTTGTGATCAAGACCCGCATGCAGCTCATGCCCGTGCACACGATTTCACTGCCGTCCGTCTCGACGCCATCCAAGGTGCCAGTCGCCGTCCTTCCGCGCTTCCACTCCATGCACGAAGTCGCGATCGACATGTACCGGCGAGAAGGCATGCGGTCGTTCTTCAAAGGGCTGTCTGCGTCGTACTGGGGCGTATCGGAAGGCGCGATCCAGCTCGCGCTGTACGAAGAGCTCAAGAGTCGCCTCGGAGACGATCCGTCCAAGCCGCAGCTGTTTGTCCTCGCGGGGGTATGCAAGCTGGTCGCGGCGGCGGCAACCTACCCCCACGAAGTCGTCCGGACTCGGTTGCGGGACCAGCGCACACCCACGGACGGGTCATTGCCGCGGTACGATTACAAGGCATCATGAATTCTCCCAGGTTTCGATCAAAGCTCATGTATATTGGTTGTTGTGGGGGGTAGATACCGAAGCATGTTCCAGGCGTTGAATGTAATTTACAAGAGCGAAGGGCGGCGCGGTCTGTACGGAGGGATGCCGGCGCACCTGCTCAAGACCGTCCCGAACGCCGCGATCATGTATGTCGTGCTCGAAATGGTGGTAGAGCAGCAGCCCAAGTGACGCGAGTGCCGACACGATGATAATTTAACACGACGATGGACATTTCAATGTTGTGAAACGAATGAGTCGAGATATCGGTGAGGACATTTCAAACATGTGCTTTTGGGCGAGCCAATCAATATATTTGTATCAAATCGACAATATATTGGCGATTTTTTCATCGTTTTGATCGAAAAACGGTTTGGAAAAAACAGATGTTTTACATGTTTCTAAAAAATACATTCCACCGATCTAAAACTGAGCCCGTTGTTGTTGCTGGCGCTTGCCGAGCCGGTCAAACTGCGCAATCATGGTCGTGGTGCGGGCGGCGAGGTCCTTGGTCTTGGTGATCACCTGGCGGTAGACCGAGTCGTACCGCGTATCCATGACGATCACGTCCTTCTGGGAGTCGATCTTGGCCTCCAAGCGGGCGTTGCGGATGAGGTCCACGATCCACTTCTCGGCGTCGCCCTTCTCATTCATCGCCAGCTTGTCTGCGAGCAGCGAAATGTCGATCGTGTGGTGGATGCGGCAGTAGATCTCAAACGTGAGCAGACGCGCGTGCTCCATGAACGCGTGCATGTTCTTCTCGGCCAAGAAGAAGTCGGACGCGAGCACGTGCTTGCACTCGAGCAGCTTGGCCTGCGCCAACTCAAAGTCAAAATGCACATACAGACACTCGAGGAACTCGATGATCGGGTCCCGGTACGCCTTGTCGTCCACGTGGATGATGCGCAGCAGTTCCTTGATCAGGTACCGACGCTTCTTGTGCAGGATCACGCCCGCGGCGAGGTATCGCATCAGCCACGGCGCGTTGGTTTGGATAGCTTCCAGGCATCGGGATTGAAGCATGAAGTCCACGATGCCGTCGCGGCCGTCCTCGTGCCACGCATAGACAAACAACGCCCAGTGCAGCAGCCACGTGCGCTGCTGGAGTTGCTCGAGCGGCGACCGCACGGACGCATCGATCGCTTCGTTGATGCGCGCAATGTCCGCGACGGCGTCTTCCCACCGGAACACGAGGATCTCGGCAGCCAACTTCCCCCAGAGCGCGTTCAAGTACTTCTCCGACGCGTTCGGGACCAACACGCCGTAGTACGTCAAGTACGTGAGGCAGTCCTGGTAGTTGCCGCACTCGTACTGGAGCTTGGCGTACGTGTACAGTCCTTCCAACACGTCGGACGTGATCTGCACCAAGAGAGACGATGAGAACGATGGGAAATGAGGATAAGGAGCTACAGCGAGGAAGCGTACCGCATGATGCTGTTCGAGGTACGCGGCGGTGAGCAAGCCGTCGTTCTGCAACGCGATGATCTTGTCCTGGTCGTCCACGAGGGTGAGGAAAGGCTTGCATTGGCCCTTGGCGGCGTTCACTTCGTCAATGATAGCGTGGCGCTTCTTCTCCAGCTCCGCAGGGACTTTGGACGCACCGTGCAACGCCTGGTGGACTTCAATGGCGAAATCCGCCATTTTCGTCGGTTTGAGCAGCTCGAGCTTGGCGGCTTGGAGCTCCTTGTCGTCGTACATTTCGTTGCTGGAGAGAAAGTCAATCAACGGGAACATGAAGTGCAGGTCCATGAAGGGCGCGACGGAGTTGGTGAGGTCATATTGCGCGGTGGGGACGCCGGCGCTCGCGGCGGCGGTCACTTTCGAGTCGGCCATCGCTTCAAGGAATGCAGAGTATGATGCTGCCAACCACTCACTGGTGGGGATTTTTTAGGCTGTTTTTTCCAATCTTTTAAAGTTGCATACAAACCCCAAGTCATATTGTTACATTTTTGAAAGTGCATACAATATACTAATTTCCACGTCTCTATATCCGGCTAATTCTGCGTTCCTACTGGGGTGGCCTCAACGGCGGGATGACGGCGGCGGCGGACCCGCCGCTTGTTGCATAATGTGCTGCATCCCCATCGCCATCATGGCAGCCAACATCTCAGGAGTGATCGCAGGAGATGAAGAATGTTGGTCGCTGGCTTGGTGTTCGTTGGCATACGCGTATGCCGTCGCACCGGTTGCATGCACGCGAGTCCGTGCGGCGGCAAAGTCAGCAGCCGACACAGGCCGCTTCGACGCCGGGTGAGCGACGGCGGGCGCAGATTGGTCCGTCGACGAAGCAGCGGCAGCCGCAGCAGCAGCTTGAAATGCGTCAATGTGTTCTCTCAACGGAAGCATGAGCGCCGCACGACACAATTCCTTCAAATCACTGCCGCTGAAATGCACAGTATCCCGCGCCAAGTGCGTCAAGTTGACGTCGGCAGCCAACTCTTCGCCCCTCAAGTGCACTCGAAGGATTTGTTCGCGCTGGGCGGCGTCGGGAAGCTCGACTTCAAACGTCCGCGGCATGCGGCGGAGGAATGCTGCGTCCTATCCGTCGAAGTCATCGTGTGAGGAAGAGTGATCTAGCACGGGATGAAAGGAGGACTACATACGACATCCGCAGGTCGGTTGGTCGCGCCGAGGACGATCACGCCAAATCCTCCGGCGTCCGGCGCCGTGGTGTCTGCAAATCCGTCCCATAGCGCCAGGAATTCCTGTGTCAAATGTCCATTATCCGGATAATAAGAGACGTTTGAATAAACGTACCGTCTTCATGGAATTGTACGTGGGGTCCGAGGCGCCGCCGCTCCGAGCTCCCATGAAGCTGTCCACTTCGTCGATGAAGATGATGCATGGAGAGAGCTTCTTTGCGAGGGAGAAGGCGGCCTTGACCAGCTTCTGGCTCTCACCGAACCACTTGCTCATGAGGGTGCTAATCTTGAGGTTGATGAAGAAGGCGCCAGACTCCTTTGCGATTGCTTTCGCGAGAAGCGTCTTCCCCGTACCCGGTCGACCATACAACAGGATGCCTTTGGGTACGGACAGTAGCTTGGACGTGGCGAAGAAGTCGGGACACTGCAACGGCAGCACCACCAGCTCATGGAGGTCTCGCTTCTGGGCGTCGAGGCCGCCGATATCTGTAAACGTGACGTGAAGGTCGGCGGGGTCGACGAGATCGGCGGCGATGATAGATTCGTAGTGGTTCATTGTGATCGTCGCGCGTTTGGATTCTGCCAGGCGCTTCTTCAGCTTCGCCGCAGTGTCCTTCGACAAGTACATGTCTTCGATCATGGGCTTGTAAGACTATCCATATCGTCACACAACGCGATCAACATGACGTGGTACATATCGTGGAAGGAACAGCGACGGACCTTGTACAGGTACTGCACACACACGTAGGTCCCGTATAGCAGCAACACGTTCAGCGTGATGTCCAAGGCCTGTTCGACTGCAGAGAAGTCACTAGGCGACGACCCATTCGACGACGGCGTAGCGGTGCCGCCGTCGGTGGTCGCATCGGATGGAGGCGGCGGAAGCGCCTTGCTGTTTGTAGCTCCCATGACGACTTGACTGGAAGGAATTGACATCCGTTGAATAAACACGCGTTTTAAGGTTTAACGCATCCATGGAGAAAAACGTTAAATGTTGTCCCATCGGAAAGCCAACTCCATGCTGCATGCTGTGCTGGCCGCCTTGTCATATATACAACGAAAGGGCGACCGTGGCATAACTTGAATGCTGCTTCAGGCACGTCTCTTGTACTCCAGTTAGCTGTACGGAAGGACGGCCGTAACGTTACCGTGTTGAAAGAACTCGCGGCGCTGGTGATGCCCAAGTACACGAACGTGGCCCGGACGTTTCGCCAACCGCCGATCGAGTCGGCGCCCCCAACCCCACGTCGACGGCAGGGAGTGTGACAGGGGGGTGTACAGGAATAATGAATGACTGTAGAGCCACGAGCCAGACTGGACCTTGCTGGATGCCCGGTTGCGATTGCTAGAGGGAGGCGCACCAGACCCACGAAGAACCGTTCATCGACGACATTGACTCGCAGATCCATCAAGGTAACTTGAGAGAGTAGTTTCTTGGTTCCTACCGACGTGAGATCGCGAGGGTAGGTACTGATCCCGTGCGCATCCTCGAGACGGACCTATACCTTTGGAAATCGTGATGTTTGACTGTAAGGTCAAAATACTTCCGGATATATCCGGACAACTGATATACCTGTAAAAACATGATGGGCTCGAATTTTGGCGAATAAGAGACAACTATGAGAAATGCTCGCTTGGGATTGGACAATTATATTTTCTCGTCTTCAATTCGTATTTACCCAACTGGCAGGTCTTGCGCCATCTTCGCTGACGGCTGACAGTTCGATGAGCCAGTCTTCTTATCCCGCGATGAAGCCCAGCCTGTCGCAGTCGACGCCTGAGCCTGAAGACTTGATCAGCCTCCTCAGTCCGTCGCAGACCCGTGACTTGGACACTCTCCATAAACTGGTGACTGAAGAACTCGAGGAAATCTATACCAAAGGCGACTTGGTCATGGCGCTGCGTGATGTGAATTTCGACGCAGCCACTGCGTTCCTTACCCTGCGCAAACGAGGCGAGGCCACGAAGAAGCGGGCGCGGCTTCCCGATCCCTTCCACGACACGTGGAGTCGACCCAAGAATCCCCGGCTGTCTCTTCCCGCCATGTCCCACAACCACCGACTCTTCCACAGCAACCACCAGCCCATGTACACCCCGTTGCATGCAGCGCGAGACATGGACGCCCGGAACTCTGTCGTCACTTCCAGCGCCCCCCCAACATACTCGTCGAGCGAGACTCAGTACAACCTTCCATATTCACAGAAGAACCTGTCCCCTCGGCAGGAGGAACAACCCGACAACGACCATGGCGACGTCCACGAGTCCCAGGTTTTCCAGGAAAGCGACCCGACTGTCGCCGCCAACATCCTGTCCCTGAACCTGCTGGATCGCCAGCAGCATCCCGTCAAGGAGGAACTCTCGACGGAGCAGCAGCAGCAGCATCCGCTGGACGACGTGTTTGACAAGCTGGCGGTGGCCTGGACGCCGGACGTGAAGAAGCTGCTGGACGCGGCCTGTGCCGCGCACGCAACTGCCACGTTGAAGCATGTACCCTCTTTTGACGCGGCCGACGCGGCGAACCTCCTATTGGACATTGTGTCCCTCCTTCCCCACGTTCAGCGCCTCGACGCGTTGGTGCGTGTCCCCCTTTTTGTCATTTTTCCCAAATATCGACCCGTTTATATCTTGGATGTTTTCCAAACCCCGTCGAATCGACGTGATTGGCTCATCCAATATATTTTGAGTGGATTTGATTGGCTACGTACAAGTCTAGCCAACCAATCAGAATTCAATATTGATTCAATATTGTTTCATCAATATTGATTCAATATTGTTTCATCAATATTGTACGAGTTTGTATCTGATGCTCCGAAAAATCAATAGGGCCGGCCCATCTCCCCCACGGACGCCGAGGTTGCCGCGTCCGACAAGGCCGCCATGGAGGAGGCGATGGCCCCTCTTGTCACCCCCGAGGCCAAGATCAAGGCGCTGAACGCCGCCTGCACGAACCACACCCGCCGCCTCGAAGCGTTTCGACGCGCCAACGTCGAGCTCGTCGAGCAGCACGCGGCGACGTCGACGCAGCTCAAGGCCAAACTGGAGGTCGCCACGGCGCTGGTGCAGCACAGTCGGCAAAACGTGGCAGAGATGGCGGCGACGCTGGAGAAGGCGCGGACGGACGAGGACGCCGCCGCGACCAAGCTGGACGACCTCGTGGAGGCTCGTCGCGCCGAATTCGTCGCCGCCGGATTGCAACCGAAAGCGGCCAAGATCCGCGCCATTACCGCCGTGTACACCAACCCGGTGGACGTGGAAGCTGTGACGTTCCGCGAACTCCACGCGGCCGCCGAGCGCGCGACGGAGGCGGCGACGGCCGACTGGCACGGCGCCACCCTCGTCGACATGTTTGCCACGGCCGTCCAGGCGCTTGTCCGCTACGTGGTGGCGCTACGCCAGGAAACCATGACTGCAGCGTACAACGACGTACGAACACGTGTCTTGTATGCATTTGTATAGCGTGGCAGTGGTTGTCCTGGTGTATATTTATATTTATTTGAATATATATTGACTTGTATATATATTGATTTGTATATATATTGATTTGTATATATATGACTTGTATATATATTGATTTGTATATATATTGACTTGTATATATATTGATTTGTATATATATAGATTTGTATATGTATTGATTTGTATATGTATATCGATTTTATATGTATATTGATTTGTATATTGATTTGTATATATATATATATATATATATATATATATATATTGATTTGTATATTTATATTGATTTGTATAGTTGGGTTTCCTGCATATTTTGTGTTGTGTGATGTACTTGGATGTATTATTTATTCGTCGTGGGGTATTCGTTTTTAATCGTTGGGTTGCTTCCATTGCTTCTCTTTAATAAATATTTTTGGTTTTTACTTTGCATTGTATACTCTGTTGGATATATATATATATATATATAT